CTTTAGGAGAGTATGAATTATTATTTTTTTTTAAAGATTTTATTTATTTATTTGAGAGAGAGAGAGTGAGAGCATGATAGGGAAGAGGGTCAGAGGGAGAAGCAGACTCCCCGCCGAGCAGGGAGCCCGATGCGGGACTCGATCCCGCCGAAGGCAGTTGCTCAACAACTGAGCCACCCAGGCACCGGAGAGTATGAATTATTAAAATTCTATTTCTGGGGCACCTGGGTGGCTCAGATGGTTAGGTGTCTGCCTTCGGCTCAGGTCATGATCTCCAGGTCCTGGATGGAGTCCCCTGTCTCGGGCTCCCTGCTCAGCAGGGAGTCTGCTTCTCCCTCTCCCTCTGCCTCTTCCCCTGCCCCTCCCCCACCGTGTGCACGTGCCTGCACGCTCCTGCTCGCGCGCGCGCTCTCTCTCTCTCTCTCTCTCTCTCGAATGGTCATTAAAAAAATAAAAATAAATAAAATTCTATTTCTAAGCCAAGAAAGCACTATTTCTAAATCATAAATCTTTTAAGAGAACATCAAAGATGTATAAATTACAATAATATCCACTTAGGAGAATTTAAAAAGATCTAGGTTATAAGAAAAGATTGTTTTATCGTGATTACTCAAAGAAAGGTACTATTTTCAGTTCCTAAGAGAACTCTTGAGCCTTTTTACCAACCAAATAATTATGTGTACTGGTTTTAAAGAAAAACAATGCAATGTGCATTATAAACATGGAAGAAAGGTCATTTAAATTTTGTATTATAATAATCAAGTGGTATATGACCTTCAAGGCAACATACAAATTCTTATAAAATACCTAAAATCTCAACCATCCCTTTTAGAATCACTGAGTTTTAAGAATAAACAAGCCTAAGTCAGGATCCTGTATCTAAAAACATATAGCCCTTTTAAAGAAATGTCATTTTAATTATGTAACATGAATTTGTTATAAAATTATTTATTGGAATAATCCCCCTATAGCATTTTGCTTTTTGACTCTGAGAAGTAAAGACATGTCACTGATGGACTTCCCAATGATCTGGTAAGGTACAAAGTCAGGGATAATTCAGGGAAAAACTTTTAGGACCTGATTATTGCTTTAGAGGTATAGCCACTGTGAGGATCCTACCTGGTTTGGGAGAGAGGGGTATCTGTGTATAGGAGGCCTGACCTGGAGTGGGGAGAATGGTCAGGAGAGAGAAGAAGAAGGAAAGATTATGAGACAAATTGCCTACTTGGATTGGTTTAGAATTAGTTTTGCTGTAACAATGGAATGTTTGAGTTTTTGTATCTCATTCTGATATCAAAAGAGGATGTTTGGTTTCTTATGTTTAAACATTTTTAATATACAATATATCATTTATAAATCTATTTATCTGAAGTTAATTTGTGTGGTGATTTTAAACACATTGCAAATTTTTTGATGCTCCTTCCATTAAAAGATGAGTGTAATTCCCCTCTCTAGAATATGTATGGCATTAGTGATTTTTCTCTAACGAACCAAATGTGATGGATATGATGCTGCATGACTTCTAAGATTAGGTCATAGAAGGTGATACAGCTTTACCTGGCTTTCAGTCTTGGGACACTTGGAACCCAGCAACCCTGTTGTGAGAAAGCCCAAACCATAAGGAGAGGTCATTGCGTAGGTGTTCTGACCTGATTGTCCCAGCTAAGGTCCCAGTCATCAGTGAGTACTAATCACTAGACATGTAAGTGAACAAGCCTTTGGATGATGCCAGCCTCCAGCCTATGGGCTGCCCCAGATGAGGCCAAGTGGATTAGAAACAAACTATCCTTGCAGAGCCCTACCCAGATTGCATATTCAAGTAAAGTAATGAATAAGTTCTGGGGTGGTTTGTTATGTACTTGCGTCCCTGTTTGTAGGGACTAGTTCTAGCTCAGGTTAGCTGTAACAAGTAGGAAGGAGATGGAGGAAGCAAAAGAAAACGCTTTCCCTCCACTTTTTCTTGTTTTCTTAGCCAGACTGAGACCTTAGCACCTCCTAGTACTAATTGTTGGTGTATAAGTATGCTTTTGAAGTGCCATCAGGAACCAAAAAAATACCATAATGGGGACCTATCTAAACTCCTTTTCCTTGAATGAAGGCTTAGTGTCTGAGCAGGGAAAAGAGAAAGCTTGAGTCTATTTCTTCTTTTCTTCTCCCCTAGGTATCCTAGTTTCAAAAAAGAGGGGAAAGCAGGATTTAATCATCTCCTGCCCTCATCTCTCTTCTGAATTAAAATCTTTGGAAAGGTGCCCCCCCCCGGAAATAATACAGACTTTTCAATCTTACGAAGGGACTAAATCTGCAACATATTTTCATTCCTTATCAAGGAAGCAGGATTTACTGACCAAAGTTATACCCTAAGGACACCATTCAGTCTTTAGTCACTCATCAGTGCCCTTGAAAGTTTCCTCTGGCTCCTCCCCTTCCCCTAAATGTGGGCTTTCCCCAGGGTTCTCTTCTCAGACCTCTTCTCACTTTGCATACTTTCTGGTTCATCTTATACATTCCCATGACTTCAGTTACCATCTACATTTTATTGACTCCAGAGAGCCAGACTTTACTTCCAACCCTCCTGGGCCAGTTCCCCGATAGCTCAAATTCCACAGGGACAAAAGAGGGTTCCTCCTCCTGGACCTAAGGCCCACTCCCCATCCCAGTCCACACACTGGACCAGAAACCTAGGGATCTCCTGCCCTTGCCCCATACAACCAATCAGTTTCCCATTTCAATTCATTTTAATTACTTCTCTTGATTCCCTCTTCTCTCTATTCCCACTGTCTTTAGGCACACAGCAGTGGTCCCAGTCCATTCTTACTTAGATTAGAGGCTGTTTTACATTCCATCTTCAAGTCTCCAGGACCCCAGCCAATGTAATCTTTTCAAAGACCTCTAATCTTTTCACACCTGACTATGCATTTCCATTAAAAAATCTTTCTTGGTTCTCCCTTTCCTATAGGTTTAATCCTGAGGCCCAATAGTGCTTTACTCACAAACCCCTTGAAAATGTATGCAAAACTGTAGTACAGGTCTATAGGTACGTTTTTCTGAAGAGGCCACAGTGCTTCCCATAGGTTCTCAAAAGGGTATGTGTCTACAAAAAGGTTAAAAACTTGTAGCTCTCAGGATAAAGGTCAGACTCCTCTGGCCTTCTGTCCAGCTTCCTTTCTCATCCGTCTTTATTCCCTTCTTGTCCTGTACTTCTCTCTCTGTAGTTCCAGGCCTTTATACATTCTGCTTCACTCTCAGCTTAGGAAGCCCCTTCCTTTCCTAGCTGGCCTAACTGGCCATCCAGGAGACCACCTTCTTTCTTTCAGGAAACACCTCAGATTTTGCTACCTATAGAAAACTGTGCGGGGCTAGGCAAGCTGGTTATGAACTGTTGGCTCTGTGAAGCCCGACTAGCAATTGCTCTTTTTTAGCATTTACCCCTGGATTTCCGAACTGGGGTGGGGGCGAGTGGGGGGATGGGAGAAAAAGAAAAAAATAAAACCCATAAAGCCTGTAAAACAAGCAAGGACTGATAATTGTTTCTGCAGCACTTACACACTGTAAAACTCCAGGCTGCAATATACATTTTTACAGTACTTTCTGGGAAGAAATTGGATGGTAAACGTGTAATTTATATTTGTCAGCAGTTTTGATGGTAAATACCACACACACCTTCCTGTTACAGAATATTGTATAGGAATTTTCAACATCATCCAATTTTCCTTTATTTTATGCCTAGCCACCGCAAGGTGTTAGGTCTATTATTTAAGAAATCCTGTAAAAATGCAGTTCTGATATTTTGTAACCTGCTAGGAGGGCTGCTGGGTCATATATCTGTATTATTGCTCCTGGTTCACGCAGCACCAGAACAGTCTACCATCACGACGTGTCCCTAAACTTCTCCATCTACCCTGGAAGATGTTCCAACTTTTTGAGAGAAAACGTGTTTTGACTAGTATACTCGTGAGAGCTGCTGTGTCTTACAGCATAGGATCTGAGTCAAACCTTTTTTCTTTAAAAACAAAAAAAGTTTTTTAGTTGTCTCTTAACAGAGCTCTTTGCCCTCCTCCGGCGGACGGATCTGAGTGAAGTGTACTGCCCTGCTAGTAACGCATCAACTTATAAATAGCGCTTACCGCGCTGAGTCACCAAAACCCCGAATTTCCCCAAATAGCTTATAACGACTGCTGGAATCGCGTCCCCTGGAGCGGTGACCGACTCCTACCACACACCCGCACGACTGTAGGCCCGCGCCACTGAGCGGGTTCCCCGCCCCCCCCCCCAGCCGCTCGGCGCCCCGGGAACGCGGGCAACCCCCCCCGCCCCCCCCCCCAGCCGCTCGGCGCCCCGGGAACGCGGGCAAAGCCGCCAAATTCCCAACCGAGAGTCGAGAGTGTTGGACCTCGCGCGCTCCGACGGCGCTCTGGGGACGCAGCGGGACTTGGCCTTGACTGCTCCGGGGCCGCCCCGCCCCCTACGGAGCTGGGAGCCGCGGGGGGCCGGCACCAGCCTCCGCCCAGCGCCTCCCGCTCACACAATGGGACGCGTCGGGAGGGGGTGGTCACCGCTCCCACTCCGGTTCAGGCCCGGGACTCTGGATTGCTGGGGAAGCAGCCAGGGGCTGGGGCAGTGAGGAAAACCCCTGTCCACCCTCCGCCCACTCCCACACTTGGAAATGGCTGCAGCCGCAGTTACAGGAGGCTGCAGAAGAGATGGGGGAGGGAGCGGAAGTGCCACCCCCTGCAGTCAGGGGATGGTGACGTCACCCCTACAGTCAGCCTGTAGCGGGGGCGTCTGCCCGTCACGTGACCCAGCCCCCCCGCCGCCGAATCCCGCGCGCGCCTCCCTCCCCCAGCTCCGACTCCCACCTCTCCCCCGCCCCTTCTCCCCAACTTTCGCCCTCCCTGCTCCAGCTCTGCTGTCAACAGCACCAGCTCCGCCCCCTCCCCCGCGCCCTGAGTAACCGCCACGGCGGCGCGGCAGGCGCTCGCGCACAGGTCCCGGGCTCCCGAATGAGAACTTGCCCCCTGACCCCACCTTGCCCCCCAAATTCCTGGCGTTCTGGGTGCGTGGGCACCGGAGCCAGGGTGCGCGGCGGCGTGTGGCGACAGCTCTTCTCTGCTCAGCCCTCACACAGCAGCCGCAGGACGAGGCGGAGACGCCAGGTCCGAGCTCGGAGGGGGCGAGGCGCGCTCAGCGGCCTCCTGGACCTGGGACGTCTCCGCCGGGGGTCGGCCCCCGGGCGGGAGCGGCAACCGGGAGCCAGCCTTCGACCCGCGCCTCCGCAGCGCTCCCGCCTCCGCTCTCCTTGCTGCTTGAGCGGCGCACGCTAGTCCTGCCTGGCTTCGTCTCCGGCCGCGACACCAGCACCGGCCGTACGACGAGGGTCCAGGCGCTGACCGCCTCCTTGAGTCCCCTCGGCCACCCCGCCGTGGACTGCTGGGGTTGCAAATTTGGTGGCTGTCACTGCTTTGCCTTGTTCTATTTTTTTCCCTCAATTCCCTTCTAAAAGTAGAGGCTTGGGGGAGGGAAAAGAAAACCCAGTGTAGAAAGGGGCGGTACGAACTGACCTGTCAACGGCGGAGGAGGAAGACCCCGGTTCTGGGCGAACTCTCGAGCCCGCGCAGGGACCGGAGTCCTGGGTTCGCGCGGAGCGGTGCGGCGGCAGCTGTGCCTCAGCCAGGTGTCCCCCCTCGGCGGGGCCCGCGCTACCGCGCCCGCCCCCTCCCCTGGCGCCGCGCTCCCCGCCCCGTCGCCAGGGACCAGGGAACCCCCCAGCTCGATTTTTTGTGCAGTTTCAGCAAAGCTCCGAGGAAGTTGGTCCTTTTGTTCCACTATTTATAGATTGCGTCAACATTGCGAAAAGGAGAAGGCGGAGCGGTGGCCCCTCCCCCTCCCTCCGCCGGCTCCTGGGAGAGAAAAGCCCCAGCACACGACCTAAGTACACAGCAGCCAGCCGTCCGCCCGCCCCCGGCCTCCTGCTCGCCGCTTCCCCCTCCTCCTAGCCCGGGCCAGAGCGCTGCCAACCCCGTCACGTGCCCGCCCGGGAAAACCAGCTCGCCGGTGCTCCGCGCCGCCCGCCAGGCTCCGTGGCGGCTGCGGCTGCCTCGCTCAGCTGTGCGCCCAGCTCGTGGGCTCCGGCTGTAGCCCGAGCGTCGCGCACAGCGTGGGCACCCACGTCTTAGCCACCCGGCGGGGACCCCTGGTCCGCAGCTCTAGGGTGTGCTCACAAAGGTCCGGCGCTTCCGCCCTCCACAGCAACCGCCCCCCCCCCCCCCCGCTTCGGGAGCGCCACCGCCCCGGTCGCGAAGTGTGCGCGCATTCGGGCCTCGCCTCGGAGCCAGGGCCCTGACTTGTCCCTCGCTCGGCCGCTTCCCCGGGCGTTGGGATGCCCGCCCCCACCCTCCCCCGCATGATCGGATGAGGGCGGGGGATTGAGGCTTGCGGAGGTGGCTCGCAGCGGCTCTCAAGCTGGTCCGCTGAGCGCGGGGAGCGCGGTGCGGCCGTTTCAGGACGCGCGGAGACGCACTCTCTACTCCGCAGGTGCAACGAGGCATTAAGAGAGTTTACTTACCGCTTCCCGGACAGCTAGGAATCGAGGAGTTTGCAGACCTAAACCACAGTGGGGGGAATATGGTTTTTGAGTAGTTACTGTAAGTTAGATATGTGACAAAAACATTGGAACTTTCCTTCAAAACCTGATGAAATGATAGGCCCCGGTATACCCCCGAAATGAAACTGAGCTCCCTACCGGCCTAAAGCCTCTGTTTCTGAGTTCGATGTAAACAAGGAAGGCGGTAAATACGAGAGGAAGGCCTTATAACAATACCAAGTGCAAGTAGCTAGTTTGAGTGTAATTTACCTTCTCGCCTTATGGGACTTTTCCCTAGCTAATTTATTTAGATCGCAGTTTGAGTCGGAGTAAAACATTTTAGCCCATCAGATCACGGATGGAGGAAAGCCCAGGCTCAGCTGGGACGAGTGCAGGAAATGCGTTGGACCTTTCCGGGCAGCTGGACAGTGTGGTAAACAGTCTGGAAGGGTTATGTTATTTTCTGAGGATTTTGGAGAGACTGTACCCGTGCGTTCAGCCTTGTTCTGGCTCAAGTGCAGACCAGGGGAGCGGGGGCGGGACCTCTGTACCGGCCCGCGCCCGCTAGCCGCGCTTCCTGGCCGTGCACTGTGCTTGTCCAAACTTAGGAGAGCTTTCGCACGGGCCACATGGGCAGCAATAAGTGTGCCACTGTTTGACTAACCGTTCCAAGTTTGGGCCTTGTTTGTTTGTTTGTTTGTTTGAAGGGGGAGAACTTAGGCCATGGGTTCATCAATTTAGCAACGTGTGCGTCGCTCGCCATAAAGACGGAGGTGAGAAGAAATCAAACCTTTATAGTGGCTGCTGGGTTTGCAAAGCGCGGAGCTGAGCGGACCCGCTTCAAATTGGACGACGTGTTGGTCTCCTGACACCTGACGGGTCTTAGAGTTTGGTAGGGGAAGCCACTCTTAATCTTACGGCTTTCGTGCCTCCTCTCTTTTCCAACTTAGTGAAAGGTCCAGGCCGCCCCTCTTCCCGCCTTTCTACTCTGCCTTGTCTTCTGTATTTGAAAGACACAGCCTGCCTAAGAAAGCGAATTCGTTTCCGAGCCAATTTTGTTATATCCATACCTACAAACCACGTTTCTTTGCAGGAAGAAAATAAGCCAGGGCCTCCTGGTCCTTCCCGCCCCTGCAAATGGCAGGGGTGTTCAGGCCTGAGCCTTAGCCTTCCTTCCCCCTTCCCGTTTCGGGCCAAACCGCAGTGTCCCCGCCACTTTGTCGGGACACGTGCCTTTTACCCCCACTTTATTCTTCCGCAGTCTTTTCAGCTGCGGCGAGGAGGGAGCGAAAGTAAAACGAAAGCACCCGGGCGCATCAGTCGCAGCGGCTTCCCTGGGTTTCCCTGAGAGCGGCCGCGGGAGGCCAAGGTCTGGGGTAGGGAGGCGAGAGTGGACGCCAGAGCTGCGCAGAAACCGGGTCGGGGGTGGTCTCCGGAGGGCGTCCGGGGGCTGCCATGAACCCTAGCGCTCCTCCTCGCCCTGGGAGAAGGGAATGCCAGTCCAGAAGGGAAAGTTTGGCCTGGGTCTGGAGTTGAAATTCGAGACTGATTAGGGCTGTGCGGAGGGGGCGCGGAGGCCAAGGAGCGTGGCGCGGAGGCGAGCGTTGGCCCCTGGAGGCGGATCCCGGGGAGAGGCCTGGGTGAGCGAGTGCGCACAGAGGCCGCAGAGGCCCACAGAATTGCTGATCCACTGACGTTGAATTAAGCATCGAGACTCCCTGCAAAAACCAGAGTTCTAAGTGGTATAAAGATTTCAGAAAACTTTGGTGACATCCTCTGCTCCCGCCCTCCTCCCTCGCAGTAGTCACCGCGGGGACAAAGGCGGCCTGCGCGGATTTGGATGAGGCGCGGCCCGTGTGGGCGGCCTTACCGGCCGCAGATTTTCTCGGTTAAGGGAAGGCTTGAGAATATCTTCACTAGGTGAAGGTAATCCCCCACAATCATCTCTCAGGGATGGCAGCCAGTCCCAAATTGCGTCCTCGCTTCCCTACCCACCCCCGCAGTGACCCAACACTAGAAGACTGGCCTGCTAGAGGCTCTCTCTGTCGCTCCAGTACATATATGTAATGCTAAACTCCAGAAAAGCACCACCTTACCCCAATAAACAACTAACTTTATTCTATTTAATGGTACATTTGTTGTAGCAATATCTTGAGTTCTGGCAAGTGTTACAAAAATCATTTGATCCTAAATGAGTCGAATGTGGAAACAGTTTTCTGTACGAGTAGTTGGGTCTGTGCTTTCTCTCCCTGGCACCTACTGCACTGCACGGTGCAGCCCACCGCTGTTACATCTCTAGCTGTTCAGAGGCGCTTTCGCATCGCACCCTTTCGCTCTTTAAATAGACTTGGGAATGTGTACTTGTTTGCGTCGTTTAGATCCCACATTGCTGGTCATTCATTTCACCAAAGTGACTTTAAAACAGCTATAATTTTAAAAGATGCAAAACTGAGTTCGCTTAGGCGAGCCTTGGGAAGGCAGTCTTGGTTTCCTGCTAGTGTTTCGCTGGTAACAGGCAGTAGTCAATCCCAGACTAGCGTTGTTCGTTTTTATTCCTTCCTTTTTCACCACAACTGCAAATGCCAGAAAGTTCTAACTGTAAAAAAAAGACGGCCTATTCCACCCAAATTTCTTTATACAATGTTGAGAAGACAGCTACAGGTTAAATAGACCCTTAGGTTTATCGACCCTTAGGCTACCCTTTTGTAAAGAACCATCTATTTCTTAAAAAAAATATTCATCAGAAGCTCTTTTTGACGCAGCAGACTGATAAAAAAAAAAACGCCTGCTTTCACTATGTTCGCCCTTTGGCTTCATACCTGGCCACTGTTCTCACTTTCTTGCAAGTTTTTCCTCTTGTAACTTAACTGTTGTGAAACAGAGGTTCCATCAGGTTATCTTGCTTACCTGGGCGTCTGTAATTATGAAGTTGGTCTATTCTCCACCCCACTTAAATAAAAAGTACATGCACGGCTTTGAAAGCCGTAGTTGTCTTTATTACGCACCCTCCTTTTTTTTTTTTTTTTAATCTCCGCACACGCAAATGACACATTTCCTGGTCTAGGATAAAACTGCAGCACCTAAAACGTTACCAGTCCGGGCAGTCCCTTGAGCCATCGAAAGCCCAAGCTTGCGTACTCCACTGGAACCCGCACCAGAAACCTCGATTTGGAGTCCAGTTTGGAAACAAATCTGTGCTTTTCGCGGTGAAATGGGAACTTGCCCAAGCGATGCATCTGGCTTTAGATTTTATGGGGAATATGATCTGGAAAAGGGAACGCCTGCTTCAGGCGTGGCCACATGCCCCGTGCGGATCCCTGGGGGCTCCCTCCAGCAAACAGTGCGCGGGGCCTCGACCCGCAGGGCCTCAGCCAACCTCTGGGCGCCCTGGTTTGGGTTAACCCCACACTAGCGCTCTCCCTTCCCGGCTTCGCCTGGGGTCGCTCTCGGCGGCTGACGAAGCTTTTAGACTAGAGGAGAAAGCTTGAGGCTGAGATCAGATGTCCTTAAAGGGGCTGGGAAAAGGGAGAGGCTCTTCGCAGTTAGTGCCAAGGAACTCGGACACCCCGCGCTCCACTCGAGGTGAAGACAACCGTCCTGGGGGAGCACAAGTGTTCCCCAGACTTTGCCAAAGTTTCGAGAATCCAGAAGTAGCATGTCCTCCACCTCCGCCCACCACTGGTTCATTTCACAATCCCCTCCCTTCAGGTTGCTTTAGGAGGTGGCCCAGGCGGAGTGGGGGTAGGGTGCGAGGTGGGGTTGGGGTGAGATGTAGAGGTTAAGCATTCTCTGTTTAGCGCTCCCTCGGCTGCGGAAACCTGTAAGGGGTTAAATGGCGCGGCGGGGTGGGCGTGGGGAGTGGTGCCTGTGTTCGGCCCCGACGGGCGGGAGAAACGGGGTGAGGGTGTGGGATCCCGGAAAGGGCCGGGAAAGCGGGGATCAAGGAGGGAGGGTGTGAGGCGAGGGTTTCTGCTGTTGGGGCTTGGTTTCCAGGAAGATGCGGGCGGTAATGGGGATGGGACCGGTAGCCGAAGAGCCAAGCACTGGTTAGTGCACGTCTTGGCCCCCCTGGACAGGATTATGTCAGGAGACCTCTCTGGCTTGGAGGTCTGACCCGCGGAGAAGATACTCGCCCTCGGGCTTTCTCCGCGAGCGGGGCAGGGCGGGCGCAGGGAGGCTGGCGGTGCGCCGCGCCGAGCCCGGGGCGCTGAGGTCGACAAGTAGCCTTCGGAGCGGGCGGCGGCCCTTCGCCAGTCTACGTGGAAACACTCATCTGAAAGAGCAACCCCTCGGCAAGCAGCCCTTTAGCCCTGGTAAAGGAGACAGAAAGGGACTCAGGGAGTGAGGGAAGTTAAGTTTAGAACTTTCCACAGTTTCCACGTTTGTCAGGCGACTGGGAATCTTGCTAGCTCTGGAAGAGCTGCGCCCATTTCCCCTTCCAGAACAAAACTAAAGGAGTTTTCCTCTAAAGGAAGACTGAAGAGCAGGCCCCACGTGGGACCGGAGCAGCACCGCCAGCTGACCTAGGGCTTGCTTCTCCCAGCGCGCGGGGGAG